TCCCCCACTCTTGTAGGTGAAAAGCTATTCCTTTCTAGAAATAAAGATTTGCATCAGAAGATGTAGATGGCTGTTATATTGTTGTGAGATATTATGAGATATGCCCTCCACCCCACTACACACTTTGCTTTGTCATTCCTCTGTGCTTCCTGGGCTCAGGGGAAATACACATGAGAGAGAAACAGAGGTAATCTGCTCTTTTCCTCCAGTGAGTAAGAAAACGGGGGTGAAGTCATGAAAAAATGCTATCATGGCATCTTTAATGGATCTGCCTAGTGTATAAGTTTAGTTCTTTTTTTATTTTTTTTGCTATAGGGCATGTAAACTCATCAGAGAGATATTTATAGAGAGAGCAGAGAGAGAGGGAAAGTAAGAAAGCACCCTCCAGGGAGGATGGCCACGTGCAATCCTTTCTCCTCCATTCTCCTCTAGGGATTTTGGGCACATATGCATGTGCCTGTGTGTCTTTTTTATTTTTTAAGGTTTTTGTGATAGGGTGTGTGTGCTTGCCAGAGAGAGAGAGAGAGGCTGAGAAACAGAGAAGGAAAGTGAGAAATCACGGTCCAGAGTGGAAGGCCACGTTGCCAACCCTGCTCCATTTTCTCAGGGTTTGATGCACATGCACACAAGCACCTGGCGTGATTTTCAAGTGCTGGGTCAGGGACTTGAAACATGGTACGCCATGTGGGAGTCCAGCACCTTAACCACCATACCATCTGCTGGCATAAGTGAGTACCACACCTTAACCCTACACCACTTGTTGGCTCCTGTGCCACTTTGTCTTTCAGGCTACTGGGTCCAGGACTTGAACTGTGCTGTCGCCCATGTGGAATCCAGCCACCTTAACCTCCATACAATCAGGAAGCCTCAGAGTTTGGTTCTTTTTAATTAACATATATTAATGTCTGTATTTGGAGGAAACAATGTGATTTTTCAGTATAAGAAAATAATGTAAAATGATCAAAATGGCATAATTAGCATTCCCATCATTTCAACCATTTGTTATACTTGTGTTGGGAATATTCAAAATCTTCCCTTCTAGCCATTCTGAGATACACAGCTAATTGTTGCCATCTGTATTTTCCCCAATATATTTGATGACACCAGAAATTGCTCCTCCTATCTATCTGCAATTTTATATGATAAGCAACATCCTCCTCCCCGCCCCCCAACATCCTTCCCAGCCTCTAGCAGTCACAGAGTTTGTGAACAGAGATTCCTGCTTGCTCTGGTTTCTGGAGCCAGCCCAAACTACCATTAAAGATACTGTTCTGTCTCTGGCTCATTTGCTACAGCTGATGCCTCAACAGCAGTCTGTAAAAAACAGAGAGGAGAGAGAGGTCAGGAAAAGCTTCCCAGAAAGATGATGTGTATACAGAAGGGACGATGGAGACACCCAAGCGAGGGAGGGGAAGTGGCATCTCCACAGTTCAAATGAGAGTATGTCCCTCAGGAGCTGGGAGCCGTGCAGTTAGGACCAGAAAGGGAGGTGTATGGAAAAGGGGTGGGGTGAGGACAGGTGGGGAAGGACCACAAGAGCAATGCCTGCAGAACCATAGCAGAGCCCGAGGAAAGGGCAAAGACATTTCCTTACATATACCATTTCGCATTTTTTGGTTTTGTTTTTTAGTTTTTGCTACAGGGCATGTGCATTTGCTAGAGAGAGAACGAAAGTGAGAAATCACCCCCGTGGGGATGGTCATGCCACAACCCCTTCTCCTCCACCTCTCAGGATTATGGACATGCACACATTTACACCCAGTGTGATTCTCAAGACATCAGGTCCAGGACTCGAACCATGAAGCTGGTCATGTGGGATCCAGTGCCTTAGCCTCCATATCACGTGCTGGCCCACTTCATGTATTTTTTGAAGTTTTTTTTTTTTTTCCATGAGAGAGACCAACATCTCCAATGAGATCTCAGACTGCAGTCCCCTCTCCCCAGGCTCCTCAGTCAGCCAGGATCACTGCATATATAGGAATGGGTACAGGTTGACCAGGAACCAAACCCTGATCTTCCATGTGGATCCAGCATTACAACGCAGCGTGATACCACTGCACCACTGCAGATGGCCTGATTGCATGTATTCTTGTTTTATTTTAAGAGATTTTTGCTAAAGGGCACATACACTCACCAGAGACAGAAAGACAGACAGCGAGAAATCACCCCTGGCCCCGGAAGATGACCTCACCACAATCCCTTCTCCTCTATTCTCCTCCAGATTTGGGGCATGCACGCATACACACCCAGCATGAGTTTAAGCCACCAGGTCTGGGACTTGAATGGCAGTTGAAAATGTGGGAGTCCAGCAATGTAACCATTATGTCATCTGCTGGTCCCCTCAATTTCATGTATTCTTAATATCTATTCTTTTTTCCCTAGACCATTAAAATAGTTGAAACATGTTTTGAAGAACTGAAAAGGACTATTAAAATTTGAAACTTCAAGTTTGAATATTTTATTTATACCAAAACAGAATTTACTATAATTTTATCTTCCAGATTTTAATGAAAGCAAATTCATCAAGTAAAAAATATTTTCAATGGGACCAGCAGGTGGTATGGTAGTTAAGGTGCTGGACTCCCACACAGCTGACCACGGTTTGAGTCTCAGATCTGGTGGCTTGAAAATCACATCAGACCGTGTGTGTGTGTGTGTGCGAATGTGTGTGTCCAAAATCTCAGAAGAAGAATGGAAAAGAAGGGATTGTGACATGGCCATCTCTTGGGGGGTGGGGGGAGAGAAGTATTATTTCTCACTTTCACTTTCATTGTCTCTCTCTCTCTCTCTGGCGAATACTTGCACCCTATGGCAAAAACCTTTAAATTTTTTTTTCTTTTCTTTTTTCTTTTTTTTAAAGAGAGATTCTTGCTTTAAGGTGCATGCATTAGCTGGAGAGACAGAAAGTGACAAATCACCCCCGGGGGGATTGGCCATGCTGTAATTCCTTCTCCTCCATCCTCCTCTCAGGATCTTGAGCATGCACACACACGCACCCAGCGTGAGTTTAAGCCACCGGTTCCAGGACTTGAACCACAGTCAACTACATGGGAGACTAACAACATGACCATTATGCCATCTGCTGGTCCCAAAAAGTATTTTCAAAATCAACTTCTTTTCCTATCTTTTCTGCAACTGAGAGTTCTAAGTTAAAACAAATGAAAGCAACTTTGAAAGTATGTTTGATGAATGTAAAACCTTTATAGAAAAACAAAAAGATGAAAACATGGGAAGTTATTGTTTAATGAGCAGAGAGTTTCAGTTTGGGAAGATGAAAGAGTTCTAGCAATGCACAATGGTGATGGTTGTACGACAATGCTCAACACTACGGAAGTGTACACTTAAATATAGCAAAGACGGTACATTTTATGTTATGTATATTTCATTACATTTTTAATAAAACATCCTTTATCTTGACTGCAGAGTTCTTCTGCATTGGTTTAGAGCATAGGGTAATGGTAAACTGCACTCTTAAAGTCAAGTATCTGGAGTTGGAAATGTCAAATAGTAGGAAATTTCTTTCAGGCTACCAGGTGGCTTTTCTGAGCAATGCTTCTCCAGTCCCTTACTTTTATAGTGTCTATTTTCTATCCAATAGGAGGCAAAATGATCTCCCAAATAGGTACCCCCGAGGAAACTGACACTAACAAAGGTTTGAAACAGCTGATACCATAATGAAGCCAGAAAACTAATCAGGAAAAGGTTAAATAAGTGGGGCCCAGGTGAGGCTTATACCCACACATTTTCTAAACCAAAATAGTCTGTCAAAGTAGGAGGTGTAGGCTTTGAAATGTTGGCATTTCTGGGACATCATGATGGATGGAGAAGACAAGATCACATATTTAGGATTTGGGACGTCCCCCAAAGTCAGAACACGTGATCACTGAAATGGATTTAAAATGGCAAGGCATGCTGAGCACTTCATTGTAAGAAAAACGTTTTTATCTGTAATTTAATTTGTATGCTTTACAGGACTGAGAAGGTAGTTGCTGCTGCAAAAGTAAGCCATGCAGTTTGTGTTTCCCTTTATAATTAAATTGCCAAGGGATGCAGACAGCAAAATTAAACCCCATTTACAGTAATTGGCATACCTTGGGGGACTGGTGACATCTCACATTCTTTACCTTGATTGAATGGTTGCCCAGTCTTATAAATGACTTTCGGTAGGTACGGCGCACATCTGAATTCATTTTTTCTCAGATTAGCATCTATCTTACCAATTGGCATTTTCTCAAATGCTCTGGATATGTCCACTTCATGATCAGAGCTAAGGCGTCAGTTACTTGAGCTCTGCTGGAAGCTCTCCCCTGTCCCACTCTGGGACACTAAGAGTTTGAACCTACAAAGTGCATATCAGGAAGAGGCTTCACATCCCAATCCCCTGCCTTTATCTCCTCCTGACACTCCAGCCCTATAATGCAATTGCCTCCTGCCTATACTCCCAGCACTCTTCTCCTGGGATCCTTGGCAACACCTTTAAGTAAATCCGGGCATCTCTCAAACAGCCGATGCTGGAGCCTCTTCTCTAACCCCAGGGAGAAGTCCCTGCCTTCTGATGAAGCTGGAAATCTGATAACTAAAAACGAGCAGGGTGGTGGAGGTCAAGGTGGGCTTTCTTATACTTCTAACCACCTACTGTGAGCCATCATCTACCACTCCATTCAACAGGAGTTTCCTTCCCTCCCCTTCTCAGTGAGGTTTCTTCAGTATCTTTGTCACTCAGCCATCATCAACCAACAGAAACTCCTATCTCTTGACTTTCTGAGTAAACTGCTGCTGCTGTTTCTCGAATCACAACCTTATTTCTCACTGACTGCATTCTCTAACCTGTCAAACCCCTGATCACATTCCTTGAATGAAAGGGGAGGTTCATTCAGCCCCCATAGAGGTTCCTGTGCAGTGCTGGCTCCCACAAGGGGCAGGTCAGTGTCACACACTGCATAGACCGTCTGAAGTTATTAAGGATATAAACTTGTCTGCTTCTTTCAGATTCCAGGTACCTGGAGGGACTTTTCCTTTCAGTTTCCTTGAATTCCAAGTCATCACGCTGTCACCATCATTTGGGGGGAATGCAGGAAATGAGACACACTCTGTTCTCTCAGCAAATGCGTGGAATCTGAAACAGAGATGTTCAGCATCAGCTGGGACGGAGGGATTTGCAGAGACCTGTTCATTCTCCTAGGGCTGTGAGTTCGCTCTTCTGCATTGCCGAACATCTGAATCTTAGTGGTGTTCCCTGATTTTCCTTGTCCCTTGTCAATTGCCATCAGCAAAAAACTGGGAGGTAAGAGAATACAAAGAATTGTGAGTGGTTTGGGATTTTAGCCAATGATTTATCTTTTCATCAGATGATAAATACCTCAACCAAATGGCATTTCTTGATACACTAAGAAAATGGTACACTAAGAAAATGATACACTATGTTTATATTCTTTTGATGCCAGGTTCCGTCATGTCAACATAGTTTTGACAATCCAGGAGTCTTCTGAGGGACCCCAATAGCGCCAGTTGGCTCTGTGGGCTCAGTGTTGAAAGACTGGGACACCAGCATCACTGGTATTCACCAGCTGCTGATGGGCTTCAGTGTGCTTTAACTCAGCAAACAGACACTGCCCCGGGATCCACGCTTAAGCACTCAAGAAAAAAAAATCCCTGTGTGGGCAAGATTTTAGGGCCGACCTACTCAGAGTGTGGTCCAAGGAGCAGCAGCAGCACCGGAGCTGGTCAGAAATACACATTCTCAAGCCTCCCCACCTCCCACCCGATCTGCTGAGTCAGAAGGCATACTTCGACAAGATCCCAGGGGTACATGTGCACATTAAGGCTGCACAAGTGCTGGTGAGGTGCACGGGGTGAAGGGCTAAGTTGCTATAACACTTAACTGGGATTCAAAAAATCAGTAATGTCAGGGCATTCCTTTCAGATTGGCAGAGGAGGTCTTGAGTAATGTTCAAGAGTTCTACCTCTACTGGTTGCACCTATCCAACTCAGAATCCTACAGTACAGCTCGGAACGGACACTTGATTGGACAAACGGTGGGAGAGATCAAACGGCCTCACCCAGGCCATGGAAAGTCTTAAACCTACTTCCAAAAGATTTCAGGTGATGCTGGAATAAAGACTCGATAGCAATAAACATGTTGTCCTCATTTCAGAGGTCCTTCTTAATTGGACTCAGCCTGGTTGGACCTGCTTCCTGGAGGAGCTTCATCCAGAGCAGAAATGGCCAACTTCCTTCCTTACATAACTGCTTTTCAAGGCAAGGAGGTGAGCTTTGTCCTGGCAGGCTCCACACCCTGAGTGCTCCAGCCTTTGGTCCCCAGGCCTTTACACTCCCTGATCTGTTCTCCAGACTAGAAAAGAGAGCAAGACGGAAGTTTCCTCTGGCTGATACAGCCTCACCTGTGCAGAAACAAATCACCATTAGAAGGCTCTCTGGAGAGTCCTGAGCCTACGGCACTGCACCTGAGGACTAATGGTTCTGCCCACGGCCTTGGGTACTGGGAGCCAGAGTCCAGATGGAGGGTCCCTAGGCTGAGCAGCCTCCCTTAAGTCGAGATGCTGAGGACATGTCATTTCCAGTTTGATAACTGTCCTTTAACTGAGGCCCAGTAGCCAGAGGCAGATAAGACACCAACTAGGAGCCACAGGCTCTCTGGGTGGGGAGCGCAAAGCAAGTAGGAACCACTGGTTGTGGGCTGGGCTTACTCGTGAAGGCCCAGGGCCTGGGTAGGAGAGCACGTCTACACCTCATCAGTGCTCCTGAGGTACACCACTCCCTGAGCTCTAGCATGCCCAGAGAAAGAGCTTCAGATGAGCTGGGCAGAGACAGGCAGTGTGGCCCCTGCCTGCCAGTTATTCTGTTCTCTTCACTATCAAAGGAGGGTCAGGGAGCCTCTCCCTATATTTTGGGTCCTCAGTAACTTAGAATCAAAGCCAAGCACCTGACGTTAAAAGATTTCAAAGCGAGTCAGAGCAGTGGTCGCAAAACACACCAGGGGTCCTGTAAAAAAATTTTAAAAATTAAAAAATTTAAAAAAAGGAGGAAAAGAAGGACAAAGACAAGGAGAAGAAGAAGAATGATCTTGAGACCAGCAGGTGGTTGGGACACTCTACTCCTACATGTTTGACCACAGTTCAAGTCCTGGGTCTGGATCTGGCAGCTTGAAACTCACATCAGTGCATGTATGTACGTGCCCAAAATCACAAGAGGAGACTGGAGGAGAAGGGATTATGGTGTGGCCATCCCTCCTGGAGGGATGATTTCTCACTTTCTCTCTCTCTGTCTCTCCAACAGGTGCATGCACCCTATAGCAAAAGTCTATTTAAAAAAGATGATTCTTGGCCCCCTCAGTGCCCTGAAAAACATAACAGAGTCTCTTGGACTCTGGCCATTGAATCTGCATTTTAATCAGTTTCCCTGGGGAGTTCTTAAGCAAACAGTAGTTTAAAATGAGTATTCCCTTGGGACTAGCAGATGGTGAGGCAGTTACATCACTGGACTCCCACATGACTGACCATGGTTCAAATCCCAGACCCAGTGGATTGAGGATCATTTCAGGCATGTATGTGTGCATTTCCCCTGGGGGGTGATTTCTCATTTTCTCTCTCACTGTCTCTGTCTCTCTCTCTCCAGTGACCACAAGCACCCTAGGGCAAAAACCTCTAAAAAACAAAAAGTGTGTTCCCAGGTTCTTCTCTATGATGAGGCAGCAGCTTGCAAGGTGAAAGCTGGCCTCTGCGATCCTTCTCTCTCCATCATGTGAAGACACAGTGAGAAACAGGCTGACTACAAGCCAGAAAGAATGCCATCATCAGAAACGAAACTGGTCTTGGACTTGACAGCCTCTGGAACTGTAAGAAAAAGTTCTGTGTTTAAGTCATCTGGCCCGTGATCTTTTGCTATGGCAGCCCAAGTGGTCCCCAATGAAGTGGGTGTACTACACCATGCAGGGCCATGGAAGGAGGAAGGAGTGTTGGCTAGGGGCCGGAGAAAGTGAGGGAAAATGTGGGCAAGAGCCCTATTATGGGTTCTTCGGGAAGGAACGGGTGGGCCAAGTAAGCGGGTTTGGGATTGACTCATTTGAATCATTTCAATGGGCTTGGGGTTGAGGGCTGCCCTGTATTACCTGGTCCCTGGCCCTGAGCTGATTAGAGGAGGAAGTTACAGACCTGAGTGTGAGAGCTTGGACTGACAGTGTGGACTGTGGACTGGTTGGTTTATGTATAAAAGGTACACCCTCAGGGGAGTCACTCACTACCATTAGGAACTGGCTAGGCCACAGAGGGCCAGTCCCTCCAAGATCAGCAAGGCCCTAAGATGTCAAAGCATTAGAATTATAGGAAGTAAAAGGCATTACTGATACAAGACAGAGAAGAACAGGTGCATGAGACTACAGACTACAATAGAAGGAAGGGAAGAACATGGCCACAGAGCATTTAAGAAGGCCACAAAGAATCCAAGACCTTCTGTGGAGCTTGTATAAAGAGACAACTCAGGACCAGCAGTTAGCATAATGGCTATGTCACTGGACTCCCATGTAGTCGACCGCGGTTCGAGTCCCAGACCCGGTGGCTTAAAACTCACACTGGGTGCGTGTGCGTGCATGCCCAAGATCTCGAGAGGAGAATGGAGGAGAAGGGATTGTGGCATGACCATCCCCCCCTGGGGGTGACTTCTCACTTTCTATCTCTCCGTCTCTCTGTCTGTCTGGCGAGCGCACGCGCCCTATAGCAAAAACCTCTCCAAAAAAAAAAAAAAGAGAGACAACTCCAACTCACTTGCTGTCACCAGCACACTTATTCTGGGCTGGCCCCCTAGTGCAGTGATTTGACTCTTAGCTTGGTGGCTTGACAAACATGCCAGGCATACATGCACAAAAGCCCAGGGTCCTGGCCGGATGGGGAAATGGAGGAAAACGAATTGTGGCATGCCCACACCCCGCTGGGAGATGCTCTTTCTCTCTTCCTCTCTCTCTCTGGCATCTACACATGTCCTCTGGCAAAATCACAAAAAAATGAAACAACGCAAACACATTTTCTGCGTACCTGCCGTGGGTCTTGGCACTCAGATCCTTTAGGAAAGCTATCATGCCTTCTCCTCTGGCGTTGAAGGACACTGTGGAGACTGGATGTGAGATCTCCAAAGCCCTCTGGAGGAGCAGCTCCTTGGATTTCTCAGGGACATCTCCCACCACAAAGTAGTAAATGGATTCAATCTGCAAAACAGTGGTACCAACAGTTATCTCCTGCCACATCCTACGCTTGTACTAGAAGCATCCGTAACACACTTTCTACAGAACTGCCTCTTTACAAAACACAGTGAATGGAAAGAATAGCAGCACTGCTTAGTGTTTCTGAGGACACTAGGGCCAAAGTCAGGAAGTGAGATAGTCCAGGCCCAGTGCTAAGAAGGTCTCCTGGCAGAGGCTACAGTCTCAGGTACTGCATGAAAAGAGTATGGTTGGCAGATTTGGAGAGCAGCTTCCTTTGGGCCCACAAATACATCTTGCATGTTAGGAGTGATTATTTTCAAGTCAAAAGGCAAAGGAAGCACTGGCACAGCCGCTGTGGGCAGCAGCTTATTAGCCATTCCCACGGTGGTGCTGGAGTGGTACTATGCAAACTCACCCACCCTCAGTCTGAGGCAGGATGTGGAGAGGAGGGCATATTCCCAGCTGGTGCATCCTCTGATCTCATCTCACCCGGGAAACACATGCTGATGATGCTGCCCTGACTTTGCACAGCCAGTCAGGAGCCAGTCCACCCCTAGAGCCTTGCCTTTCATTGCTATGCCAGTCCATGAGGATGGGAGAATGAGCAATGCCAGTGCCAGAAGACACACATATACAGACACACACACACACACACACACACACACACACACACCAGTGATTCTAGCAGATGTACACCTCAGCTAGGTACAAGACAATCCCAAAACATGCTCCCTCCTTAATTTAGAAAGATGTAAAACCCATTACAGGAATGTATGCGGGGTTTCTGTGATAAGAGCCCTAGACCCCAGCAACCTGCTCTTCTCCAGGCCTCTGTGTTTATCTTCCCTGCCACTAATCAGTTCTATAGCTTCAAGCAAGTGATCTAATTTCAGTTTCTTCACTTACTTAAAAAAAAAAAAAAAGATAATGCAGGGTTTCTTATTTATTTCATTTTTCATTACTGGAGGGCATGTATGCTGCCAGAGGAGGAGGAGAGGAAGAAAGCACCCCTAGGTTGGGTGTGGGCATTCTGTAATCCCTTCCCTGTACTTCTCCATCCTGTCAGAATTGGGGGTACACATGCACCACATGCGTGCCTGGCTTGTGTCAGCAGGGCCAGGAGTTGAACTGTGCAATTGGACAGGGGGATCTGGCTCCCTACTCACAGAGCTTCAGGACCAGCCTAGAGATAATGCAATTTTATTTTCTATGGCAGAGTTTTAAAAAGATGACTTACTGGGACCAGCAGTTAGTGTAATGGCTATGTTGCTGAACTCCCATGTAGTCGACCACAGTTCATGTCCCGGACCCGGTGGCTTAAACTCACACTGGGCGCTTGTGCCTGCGTGCCTAAGATCCCGAGAGGAGAATGGAGGAGAAGGGATTGCGGCGTGACCATCCCCCCTGGGGGATGATTTCTCGCTTTCTGTCTCTATGTCTCTCTCTCTGTCTTTCTGGCGAACACACGCACCCTGTAGCAAAAACCTCTCCAAAAAAAGAAAAGAAAAAAAAGATGACTTACTGGGCTAGTAGGTGACATGGAGGTTAAGGCTCTAGGTCCCACATGGCCGTCTATGAGGTTCGTATCCCAGACCCAGTGGCTTGAAATCATGCCAAGTGTGTGTGCATGTGTGTCCAAAATCCCAAGAGGATAGCCAAGAAGGGACTACAGTGCGGCCATCCTCTGCGGGAAATAATTCTCTCCTCTCTCTTTCTCTCTTTGGTGAGTGCATGTGCCCTATAGCAAAAACAAACACACAAAAACAAACAAAAACAAAATAAAACAAAAATCAAAAAAAGGAGGAGTTACCTTAGGTATGTGTGTCTATGTATGTACTTATCCAAGCCTCAGAACGTAAAAACACAAGAAGGGCCAGCAATATGTATCATCTCAACCTGCCCCTACCGATGTGCTAACTCCACAGATAAATGCAAAAGAAACCCCAGCACACGTCCTGTTTTAGGGGAGACTGTGATGAATCTTTTAGGATTCATAACCCTCTCCTTCTCCGATCACAAACCCCCCGGCCTCACCTCTACTTTAAATCTGAGACTTTTTTTTTTGGAGAGGTTTTTGCTACAGGGTGCATGTGCTCACCAGAGAGACAGAGAGACAGAAAACGAGAAATCACCCCCCGGGGGGCGGGGGGGTGGCCATGCCTCAATGCCTTCTCCTTCATTCTCCTCTCAGGATCTTGGGCACACACGCACGCGCGCCCTGCGTGAGTTTAAGCCACCGAGTCCAGGACTCGAACCGCGGTCAGCTACTTAGCCATTATGCCACCTGCTGGTCCCCAAACCTGAGACTTAACCTGACCAGGCAGAAAGAGGGAGAGCCCATGGCTGGTTTCCCAGGTGGCGAGGGTGCTGTCGCAGCTGATGGGACAGACTATGCTCAAGGTGGCAGGAGGCCAGAGGTGGCTGAGGGTGGAGACTGGGAGTCAGGACAAGGCCAGAGTAAGAGCTGAGACCAGACTACCTTAAAAGCAACCCTCCTCCAAGGAGGCACCAAAAAGTCCCCATCCCTGCACTGGGCTTCCTTCTCTCAGGAATGAATCTGAAACCCTTGGGTAGAAATGTATTTCCCTCAAGATTTCATCAAACTGAACGTTGCTGTAACCAGCGATGAGTAGGAATGGCCACACAACACTGGTAGATCCTCTCTGTTCCTCTCCCTCGCTCACGAAGACTGCAGCCAGGCCACAGTTCCTTTTCCTCCATTTCCCCATTCTTCAGGATCTTGGACACTCAAGCACATGTGCCTGGCATGTCTGTCAAACCATCGGCTGCCTGAGGTTTCTAAGCAGTGCCTATGGGGCGTGAAGACTGAGGAAGGCTGTAAATGTCTTTCAGTCAGTCATCTGGGAGGCAGAAACACACTGGACAAAAGGAAGAAACAGTGTTCCTCAGGTTACGCATCAGGCAACTAGTGCTCTCCCAGCAACTGCACTGCGGTTCACTCTCCTCCCGGCGTTATATATTACCTTGTGTAGAGTGTATTAGAAAGGCTCCCACTTGGGACCAGCAGTTAGCGTAATGGCTATGTCGCTGGACTCCCACGTAGTCAACCGTGGTTCACGTCCCGGACCTGGTGGCTTAAACTCATGCTGGACGCATGTGCGTGCGTGCCCAAGATCCCGAGAGGAGAATGGAGGAGAAGGGATTGCAGCGTGGCCATCCCCCCCAGCGGGTGATTTCTCGCTTTCTGTCTCTCTGTCTCTGTCTGTCTGTCTGGTGAGCGCATGCGCCCTATAGGGAAAACCTCTCCAAAAAAAAAAAAAGAAGGCTCCCACTCAGCCGCCCTATTATTCATTAGACTTCTCCAGTCACCTCAGTGCCCAGATTTAGCATGGGGACAGGTTCATCTTGTCATTAGGATCTAAAATGACACATGGCTCAGGACAGGGGAACAGACCTGGCATATTTTCCAGAGTTTCTTGGGTCAACAGGAAGTGGGGGCAGACATCTCCAGGTGGTCCGTCGTCGGGAGGCCTGATGCCATTGCATTTCTGCTGCCCATCACGTAAACTCAGCTCTTTGTGCTGGCAAAGAATCTGAAACCCTTGTGCAAAATGTTTTTTCCTCAAGATTTTCATCAAACTGAAAACTGCTGTAGCCAGTGATGAGTCAGGATTTCCTTTCCTTCACTAAGGCTATGGCATTATTTATTATTCATTAAGTTCATTATTCAGCTTCTTAATTGCATATATTTTCAGTCAATTCTCGGTTATCATGCTACAGATTTCCTAGGGCATGCTTTCCACTGAGACCACCTATCTCACCCCCTCTCCCACACACAGCCTTTCTGTCTCTCTTATTGGCTCATATAATGATATTTAGGAAGAGAGAAAGATAAATAAGCTACCTATTCTATCTTCCCCCAAATTGGCAAAATTCTTCTGAAAGCAAAATGGCTTTAGGGTTACTGGATATTTGGAAAGATGAGTTTAAATGAATGATTTTATGTAATACTCTTATAAACAGTCTTGTAGAATATGAATTGTTGTTATCATGCCAATTTATGATGAAGAAACTGAGGCTTGGGAAGGCTGACGATGCAGTCCTGGAGCTGCTAAACCTAGGCAGCTGATCCCATGAGCTGCTCCGCTTGCTCCCAACCACTGTGTTCTGTTGGCTCATGGGAAGGCTGGTCACCTACTAGGCATGGATGTGAATCCCAGAATTGTAAAAACAAGACCATGGGGCAGGGAATGTGGCTGTAGGCAGGCACTGTTTTCATTTCCTGGGCTTCTTCCCCATCAAGGTTCACGTCCTAACCCAGGAGGTTGTATGGCTTAAAGAAGTTATCCTCATGGGAATCTTCATACCTTTGGGCTTCTTCCAGGCAAGGGCCAGTCTTGAGGCTCAACAGCAGCATCCAGACCAGGAACAGCATCCTCACTGACCAGTATTTCCCTAAATGCTAATGAGGGGACCAGCAGATGGCATAATGGTTATGTCACTGGACTCCCACATAGTCGACTCTCGTTCAAATCCTGAACCCAGCAGCTTAAAACCCATGCTGGGCATGTCTGTGTGTGCGTGTCCAAAATCCCAAGAGGAGAATGAAGGTTTGCACCATAGCCATTTCCCCTTGGGGAGTGTTTTCTTTTTTTTTTTTTTTTTTTTTGGAAGGTTTTTGCTTTTGGGCTGGTCGCC